ATCCAATCCTTCAAAGTAGTGTCTTAATGGTGCTGCCTTTAGAAAGTTGGACACAAGGTTATAGACAACCACAGAAAACTGTGTCCATATTTTACAAGCTCCTTCTTTGTTATAGCATCTCTCTTCCCTGAGCCTAGTATTCTAAAACTGGCAACATGACTGCATGGTAAAGCTTGACTTAAGAGATGGGTGACTGACCTATTAGCTTAGTGACATTTGACAGATTACTTAACCTCTCTAAAGTATAATTGTCTCATCTGTGTAATGGGAATAACAACGCCTGTCTCCTTATAACAGTGAAATTAGATGGTATTTATGAATATTCTGTAGTCTTTTGGAAAAATGTGAATTATTGTTGTACTATACAGCAGGAAAGCATGCTGTGATGGATATTCTTCCTGTTGAAGGTTTAAGACCTGTGAGTCATGCTTCAAGATAAACTTCTTTCCTACTTTGTTGATTTTCTTTTTAGCCCTGTATATTATATTGAATTTCCTGAGAGTGGGGCTCAGAAAATCTTCCTAGCATTTTATTAATGTAGTTGAGTTGGTTGTTGTGAGCCTTGGAACAAAATTAGATAGTACGGGGGCTGGGGTTGTGGCTCAGTGGTAGAGCACTCGCCTAGCATGTGTGAGCCCTGGATTTAATCCTCAGCACCATATAAAAATAAATAAATCAAAGGTATTTTTAATTTTTTTTTWAAAAATTAGATAGTGCCAATGCATTTATTAACTAAAAATAGATATATAGACTAATGATCTACTCAGCAATATTACACAGGCTCTGTATCTTTTGATTGATCAAGACTCATCTCAGGGGGCAGAAAACTCTTAATCTTTTTATAATTTCTAAGTATGGTATATAAGATACTCACTGAAGAGCACTGAAGAACAAGAAAAGGGAAGCTAAAAGACTGAAATTTCTAAGTTCTGCTCTTATTACTACTAATATTGATCACTTTCCAAGTCTCCCATAGATCCATTAGAAACAGAGCAACACAGGATATAGCAGAGCAGTTAATATATAGTAGCATTGTTTGCTTTTTAATTATTCAAAGTTTTACCCCATTCAAAGAACTCAAGAAATTGTGGCTCATAATTGCCATTTGTCAAATTCCTTAGAGCTTATAATTTAGGTTAGTACAGCCCATAATTTACCTGAAACTTTCACTGTTTCTTTCCAAAGAAAAAGGCTTTTTATGAAAATTATGTCAGAACTGTCTTTTTCTCCTGATTTAATAAACCTATTAGTAAGTTTTTACTAATTCCTACTACTAAATTTTCTGTGTTAGCATTATGGGAGATCAAACATGATCCAGTCCCTCAGAGAGTTTATCTTCCAACTGAAGACTAGTTTTAATTAGCAAATGCCATTAATGAGTGAGTAGGGAATGAAGTTCTAAATAAAGTAATAATGGGGAATTTTAAAGAAGAAGGCAGTGTGTACTAGATTCATTAGAGAAGGTGGCAGGTATGCTACGATGCTTGAACCAGGTCAATGAAGAGTAAGCAAGATTTAGGTAGAGTTAGGGAAAGAAAGGGAAGGAAGCAGGGAGGGAGAGATTGATTGATCAATCAATTAACTTGTCAAAATAAGCAAAACAAGTCACTTCCAAACAACAAAGCTCTCTGGCCTGATCAGATCAGCAGTGATGAACCACAATAATAAGAAAGTGAAGCATTGAGTAATGTGGGAAAGTTAGCTAAGTAGAGTGAGGCCAGATCTTGGACAGTGTTGAATACGAGGCTAGATTTGATCTGATGGAACAAAAAAGTCATTGCAAATTTTTGTGTAAGACAATAGCATGAGAGTAGTCCATCAGGAAATGTTCATCAGAGTTGAATGGAGTTATAAGGATGTCCAATACAGTAAAGGGACATTAGAGTCACAAAATGAGATGGTGAGGGCTGAGCCAAGGTGGAGAAGTTGGGTAGAAAAAAAAGGGATTGATAGTAGAAATATTTTGAAGGAAAACATGATTAGGCAATTCATGTTCAAACTTCATTCCAGAATTTCTAGCCTCCACTTGGATTGCCCAAAATATCAGAAAATGTTGTTAAAAAAAGAAAAGGTGGCAAGTACCATTTGTTCTGACAGAAAGTATTGAGTTTGTTGTTGCATTCATTTACTTGAGGTCCTTAGTGTAGGTAGACAGACTTGCAGAAGTGCCACTCAGAGGGCAGGGCTGGTGGTTTGGGATTTGACTTTATCAGCATGTGGTTAATAACTGAATCTCTGCTGATGTTCAGCTTTGGATGCTGCCATGTTTGGACTTACAATGAAAGCCAAGTGATATTTATTCAGATGCCAGTTGTTTCTTCAGAGTATTTGCTTGTGGCACTGATGAGAAAATCATCCGTAAAGCACTAATTACTTTTCTAATAAAGCTATTAATAAAAAGGTAAATGAGACCAGTGAAAGGCAGAGTAAACCTCAAGTCAAGGATAGAAAAAGGTATCATTAAAAGACTCATTAGTGTAGTGATAATAAAGTAAGATGCCTCAGTACCTCACACCATTATACACAGTTAGTATGAGTAAACACTTATTAAACTTACATGTCATTCATTCTAAAATTCACTTTTTAAAAAACATTTGTCCAGTGGGCTTGCATCTTCCATTATCTTGACATTATCTTGTTATTGTTGGTTATCTAGTCACTGAATAGTTGCCACTGCCTTAAGAAATTTACTTTGCTTTATTTAAAAAGTATGCACAAAATTATATAGGAAAAAAATGCTTCCAGATAAGTCAAAAATAACTCTTTCTGTAAATATGGAATAAAAGTTCTAAACACAAAGCAATAGTTTGCAGTTTTCTTTTTTGGCAGTACATAAAATGGTGGGCTTTAAATTGATGGTATCATAGATTTGTAAGTAATGGTATTAAAAATTATTGATAACAGCAGATTTCCACCAATATGATATAGGTGACTATAGTAAAGTCTCCTAAATTTGCATTCTTTAATTGACCTAAATATGAGGATGCCCTGGGGTTATTTTAATTTGGACTGGGATTATTAGGAGAAAGGGTTTTCTTTCATTCAATGATGGAAATACCGCCTGCCCAGAATAGAAACCTCCTTGGAGGATCCATTTCTTTGATGATGCAGAATCCAGAATATTTACAAAACTTTAAATATTAGCAGAATGAACAACCATATTTAATACAAACCAACTTGCCCTTCCTAATCTCAGATCACTGTGCTGTCCATACACTTATGAGTATGCTTGCTTATGTGCAAATTGAGAGTGAATCTATGAGGAAATTGGTATTTAAGGATGATATAGTTTCTTGGTGGTAGAAAATGTTCTCTCTTTCAAAAGTGGAGCACAGAAACATTTGATTTTTCAATACAAAAGTCTTCAGCCATTTCTGCACTATGGCTTAATGACTGGAGGTAGGTTGGCTTTGTGTTTAGTAACACTTAATGGGCAGAAATAATCTCTTTTCCTAGGGACTTTCACAGCATGATGACACTTTGTGTGTGTGTGTGTGTGTGTGTGCACATGTGCACGTGTGCACATGTGAGTATGTCTGTCTTTTTATAAGTCTATGCTCTGGAACTGATAAGTTGGGATAAATAAAGTTAGAGTGTCAGGGCTGGGGAATGCTACTCTTTACTACTAAGGGACACAGTACTGCAGGTAAGTGATTCTTAAGTCCTTCAACACCTGACGGTGACCTTGGGTTGGTCCATAGGTATGTTTTCATTTTACTTATTCGTTTATCCTAATTGGCTTCCTAGAGAATGCTTGCAGATGTAGAGCCAAATTTAGTAGAGAAACCCTCTGGCAAACAGGAAGAGATTAATTTTGTGGTGTGCCATTAAGGGACTTCCCAGGAAACTTCAAACACACAGAAAGAAGCACTAACTGCCTATTCCAAAGTGTGTAAAATACAACTCAGATTTTTTTTAAAGTCATGATAAACTCAAGAGTTTACACACACACACAGGACCAATAAAAAGAGAAGTTGAAATTTCTAGCAAGATCAGTATACTAGGCAGAAAAGTCAAAGGGTGAGGGCTTCAGAGAATTTGTGGAGATAAACGCGGAGTCTGCATATGGGAGGCATTTGAAATTCACTTAAATTCCTTGTTAATGCTGACTTTTCCAGTTTTTTCTAAGTTGACACATTGTTTTCATGACATCAGCCTCAGGCATAGAAACATCATTAGAATGAATGTAGAGAAAATGATTTCTGTTTGGGAATAAGCAAAACATTTTTAGTGATGACCACCCAGGTGTAGTGGAAAGAACACTGGGTTTGAGAACCCCGATTTCTAATATAAACTTTTTTTTTTTTTTAATGACACAAGGCCAGTCCTGTATGGTCTTTGTTTTCCCTGTCTGTAAAATCCAGTAGAAATATCTATCATCTTCACTATAATAGATTATCTCTGTGAGAGAAGAAAAATAATGTAAAGACTCCTTATAGCTCTCTGATGGCTGTTCATGACTAGGCATCACATAGCCAGAGAGATCCATCGGATCCCTTAGGCCACTGCTGTTTTTGTCACACATTCCTACAAAGGGACAGCATTGCTAACTTGAAAAAAACACTTCGTTTGCAATTGTTGCTTAGTAACATTTCTGATTTTGTGTTTCTTGTGACAGCATGAGCATAGATCATTAAAAATTAAACTTACGAAGCTGTTAAAGTGGGAGGAAAGAGGAGAAATGAAGCCACAATTTTTTCACTTGCTTAGAAGCCATTTAATCTCAGGTTTATATGCTAAGTCCTGGGGAGAACACTGCATGTCTCTGGTTTATATTAAACCACATATTGCACACTACTGACATTGATTTGTGTCTAGTGCAGCTGGAGTTGATCACCAAGACGTAAAAAACCTTGACCCCGCAGAATAGTCTGGAATTACAATCAGATGGGCCACATGGTATCCCTGTGAGGAAAAGAAAAAAAAAGAGAGAGAGAGAGAGAGAGAGAAAAAGCCCTAACCAGTTTCTTTGTATTTTTTTTTTCTGCTTTCTCCTTTAGTTCCACCAGGTGAGAAGAGTGATGACCATCCTTTTCCTTACTATGGTTATTTCATACTTTGGTTGCATGAAGGCTGCCCCCATGAAAGAAGCCAACGTCCGAGGACAAGGCAGCTTGGCTTACCCAGGTGTGCGGACCCAWGGGACTCTGGAGAGCGTGAATGGGCCCAAGGCAGGTTCACGAGGCCTCACCTCATTGGCTGACACTTTTGAACACGTGATTGAAGAGCTGTTGGATGAGGACCAGAAAGTTCGGCCCCATGAAGAAAACAATAAGGACGCGGACTTGTACACTTCCAGGGTGATGCTCAGTAGTCAAGTGCCTTTGGAGCCTCCTCTTCTCTTTCTGCTTGAGGAATACAAAAATTACCTGGATGCTGCAAACATGTCTATGAGGGTCCGGCGCCACTCCGACCCTGCCCGCCGCGGGGAGCTCAGTGTGTGTGACAGTATTAGTGAGTGGGTAACAGCGGCAGATAAAAAGACTGCAGTGGACATGTCGGGTGGAACCGTCACCGTCCTGGAAAAAGTCCCTGTGTCGAAAGGCCAACTGAAGCAATACTTCTACGAGACCAAGTGCAATCCCATGGGCTACACGAAAGAAGGCTGCAGGGGCATAGACAAAAGGCACTGGAACTCCCAGTGCCGAACTACCCAGTCGTACGTGCGGGCCCTCACCATGGATAGCAAAAAGCGAATTGGCTGGCGGTTCATAAGGATAGACACTTCCTGTGTATGTACATTGACCATTAAGAGGGGAAGATAGTGGATTTATGTTGTATAGATTATATTGAGACAAAAATTATTCTATTTGTATATATACATAACAGGGTAAATTATTCAGTTAAGAAAAAAAAATAATTTTATGAACTGCATGTATAAATGAAGTTTATACAGTACAGTGGTTCTACAATCTATTTATTGGACATATCCATGACCAGAAGGGAAACAGTCATTTGCGCACAACTTTAAAAAGTCTGCATTACATTCCTCGATAATGTTGTGGTTTGTTGCCGTTGCCAAGAATTGAAAACATAAAAAGTTTAAAAAAAATAATAATAAATTGCATGCTGCTTTAATTGTGAATTGATAATAAACTGTCCTCTTTCAGAAAACAGACAAAAACACAAAAAACAAAAAACAAAAATTTGAACCAAAACATTCCGTTTACATTTTAGACAGTAAGTATCTTCGTTCTTGTTAGTACTATATCTGTTTTACTGCTTTTAACTTCTGATAGCGTTGGAATTAAAACAATGTCAAGGTGCTGTTGTCATTGCTTTACTGGCTTAGGGGGATGGGGGATGGGAGGGGTATATTTTTGTTTGTTTTGTGTTTTCTTTTGTTTGTTTGTTTGTTTTGTTTCTTTTTTTTTAGTTCCCACAGGGAGTAGGGATGGGCAAAGAACTTCTTCAGTGTCTATTCTGGTTTATAAAAGATACATTTATATGTTGTAAAGTTGTTTGCAATATCAATCAGATGACCGGAAAGTGAATAAAAATTAAGGCAACTGCATAAAATGCTCACACTCCACTTCCCATGATGCACCTCCCAGATCCCCCTCCCCCAACCCATTGGATGTGGGTTAGGGAAAGCATCTTTTATTGGAAGAACCTACCTTTGCTCAAAGCACATTCTTTCCCTCCCTCCCTCCCCTTTGATTCCCTCGTTGTTTTGCTTTGTCTTAAGGAAGAAAAATGAATCTCATGCCCTAAAAATATTTTACCACTGTGGTGAACAAGTGAATAAATTGTGTCACATTGTGGCACTTGTGGAAACAGTGATTTTTATTTTTTTAAAGAAGAGAAAAAAGAACATCAGGAAGTAACCCAGAAATCAAGATTCTTTTTTATGAGGAGTAAACATTTGGGTAAATCATGGTAATGCTTTAAAAAAATATGGTAAGACTTCATGGTGTCTTGCAAGTGAAAGGTAGAGTTCTGTATGAACTCAGAAACACCTAGATGAGAGCCAGTGAAATGAGTCTAAACAGCCCTGTGGAGGCTGGGTAGAATGTACCATTTCCGGGCAATGCAGGAGGAATTTTTGAGTGGCCATCCCAAGGCCTAGGTAGAGGTGGGGAATGGCACTTAAGACTTTCCAAAAGGAAAGCCTCAGAAGCACCCTTCAGAGGTGGCTCTGGAATGACATGTGTTAAGTTGCTTGGACCTCATGCTTTAAGTGCCTACATTATCTAACTGTGCTCAAGAGGTTCTCCACTGGAGGACCATACCCAAGCTGACTTATGCCCTCCATTCCTCTCCTGGATAATTGTGCATAAAGTTGGACTCGCCTGGAGCAGATTTGGAGTCAAATGTGGCATTTGCTATCATGAGATTGATGCAATGAAATAGAAGATGTCTGCTACAAGAACACATACTTGCTTTGAAACTACACTTGAGGAAACCAGGGTTTTATATTTTGAGAACTTTTGGTCAAAGGAGAGAACAGGAAAAGGCCCCCAAACTCAGGCCGAATGATGAAGGCCTGAAAAAAAGATAGAAATCTTGTCCAGAGACAAGACTTGGGAAGGTGCTTGGCTCCATAGAAGAGGCCAGAACAGAGCTGACAAAGCTTTGCTCCCCAAGTGAAGGTCACAGCAACCTCCTGCCCATTCTGTCTGTTCAAGGAGAGGGTCACTGCTTCACCTCTACCATTTTGGGTTAGGAGAGGTCAAATTAGGAATCTGAAATAGTGTTCCTGGGAAAAGTGGATCCCAGTGAAAATTAGTGCTAAGCTATCTACCCATTCAGCTCACTTCCACACCTGGAAATGATAGTGTTTACCACCTGGAACAGTGTCCTAGAGTATCAGAAAAAGCTGCAAGCAATTGTTGCAGGGTGAGGAATAAGCAAACAAGGATGTCCATTGTGACCCAGGGAGTGAAGATGCTGTCAGCAAATTTCTGTCTTTTCGTTTAGAGGTAGCCTGTCTTTTAGAGTACAATCTGAATACATATCTTTAAATGAAGAAAGACTTTATGTAGTATAGGTTTGTTTTGTTGTGCCGTTCAACAATATTATCTTTGTAATTATTTTTCATCTGTAAGGAATGCTTTTGGAATGTCTGCTGTATGCTAACTTTTCGCAGCTTCCTTTTGAGGGACAACATTTAAAAAACAAACAAGTCCCTATCCACAATCTTAAGGTACTGCAGGGGCCAGATCTGTTAAGTTTCGCAGGAGACATTTCAGCAATTGTGTGGTCAGTGGCTCTCTCTTACCCAATGAGATACATCACAGTCACATGCTTGGTGGTTTATGTTGAACTAAGATTTATTTTGTTAAACTCTCTCTCTCTCTGTTGCTGTTCGTTCTTGTTCTGTTCTGTTCTGTTCTGTTTTTAAAGTCTTGCTGTGGTCTCTTTGTGGCAGAAGTGTTTCATGCATGGCAGCAGGCCTGTTGCTTTTTTATGGTGATTCTCATTGAAAATGTAAGTAAATGTCTGTGGCCTTGTTCTCTCTATGGTAAAGATATTATTCACCATGTAAAACAAGAAAAAATATTTATTGTATTTTAGTATATTTATATAATTATGTTATTGAAAAAATTTGGCATTAAAACTTAACCGCATCAGAAGCCTATTGTAAATACAAGTTCTATTTAAGTGTACCAATTAACATATAATATATGTTTTAAATATAGAATTTTTAATGTTTTTAAATATATTTTCAAAGTACATAAAATCTGGGGGTTCTGGGTTTTTTCTCTTCACTGTAAAACAAACATGAAAACGTGTTTTATTATAAATACGTGTGTTCCTTGCTTTAAGATCAACCTGACTAGTAGCAGCAATTGAATAGCCCTCCAGAGAGGATGCTAATTTCAAAGCACTGGAAGGCCAATCCTGCAGTCTGTGAGCTTCTGAGAAGCTCTAGGATTGATTCTGTCTTCCAGGGTGGAAAACAGAATGTCATTTTCTAGGACACTTGAAAGTTTTTCCCTTTGAAGTGATATACTTTCATCAAATACCAAACCATGTATCCTAGCAACATCCAGATCCATGAATCAGGGCTGGCTGGCTCTATTTGACTATAAAATAACTGTTAAAAAAAATCAAAGTAGGTCTATTTAGGAATAATGAGAATAAATTGGCCCAAATTTAGAAAGTCAACTACTGGAAAAAAAATGTAGATATTCAATATTTGGAGACAGGTCATGTCCCCTTGGTTTGGAAACAATGCCATTTGCAGCACGTATTTGTATCTATTGCATTGATTTAATTTTTGTACATGGAACACGAAGATTTTATATCATAGTACCCATGATCTAACAGATTGCTAGGATTTCTAAAAAGATTTGCCTCCGTGATGGCTGCCAAGCCGCTGGGTAATTTAGTTAAAGTGTTTAAAGTTATCACTAAATCTTAGGGAAATAAATGGAAGGATTTTAAATTAGAGAAAGGGCCATTAAGGAAAAAAAGCATCTGTTCCTACTCTTCAGACTCCCCATTTGAACACTGAACAACCCATCCCAGAACGTGGTGAACTATATCTGTGCAATGTATCATTTCTATTTCAAACATACACACATGGTTTCCTCTTGTATTGTCTTATAAATAAGGATCAGGAAAGTCATAACAAACATTGACTTGTGTTATGTATATGGAAGAACAGATCGAATGAGATGAACTGCTCTATTATAATCTGTCCAGTGAATTTACTTGCACTGGAAGAGAAGACCTTGACTTGCCAGTCATGACAGCCCAGCCAGGGAATTAGAACTTTGTTATACTTCCGACTTAACCAATTATCCTAGTTGAAAAAGACTAACTTATATGAAGGGTTGAGGAATAAGCGAAAATCAAATGTGTCATTCAAATTACTTGAAGTTAATGGAGTTTGGTAAACATGACAAAGTTTTCAATAGGGGATGAGGTCAGAGAAACAACAATGAAAAGGAGATATCCATTAACTAACTTGGAGTAATCAATTTGTACTGCATTCTTTAGGTAAGAAGGTAAACCTGCTTAATCATTAAGAATCTTGGAAAAGACTCAGATCATTGCTTTCATCTATTGTTTTTTTTTTTTTTTTGCCATATTAGTAAGCCTCTGTGGTCATGCTGTGTCCATGAAGTCTTTATTCCCTATACTAGTTCTATGAGTAATATCACAATTCTGAGTAAGAATTTGAACTAAACCTTAGAAGGAATTAGTTAAACCTTAGAAGGAATTAGTTAAATGAATTGTCCCTCATTCATTTAACTGGTTACTAGACTCTAGGTAAAATGTCTTTTTTTTTTTTTTAATATGTGTCAAACACCTCTTGAACCACCAAAAACTGTCAGTCCTTGCTCAGCCAGCACTCCAGCAGCATCAGGACTTACGCCTAAAGGAAAACATTCCTGTCTCTTGTGTTCTAGCATTGAGCTTACTCTGTCAGTCAGTTTTAGTGAAATAGCTACATTTTTGGTAAGCCACTGTTGGTAAAGAGTGATGAGAAACAATGCGTGTTCATAAGTACAGGTAGATAAGTATTGAGCATAGAAAGATCTATGCATAATGTAATCCAACCTCAAAGCAAAATAAGTGTTTGATGAAACCTGGGCCATTCTTTTAGCTGTGGGTTAACTGTTGTTTTAAGAGTGGTTTTTGATTTGGGGTAGAAGGGGTAGGGGAAGTGGCTAGGACTCTGATTCTTGTTGGTTACATTGAACTAACTGGGGCTGGTGAATTCATTACCTAAGAGCCAGGTATAGTGACTAGAGTGGATGCAGCCACACCAATACACTACAGTGTATGGCCATTCCAGCCAGTAAGCACCCTGCCTGTACCTCTGCCTCCAATCTTCTAAGTATCTTCATCTTTTCTTTCAATTCTTGCCACTGTTCTGTGTAGGGGGGAAATGAATGCAAACTCCTTGCTTTTTGAAGTGTGATTAGATGCAGTGAATTTCCTGAAGAAAATATTTAAATATTAACAGAAACATACTGTGGTCTTTTACACCTTATATTCCTCATTAACAAAAAGAGCTATTGATGTGATACACTATAGGATTTCTATAGGCCTTTACCTCATCCCCTTCTATAATTTGGTAGGCACCAATCACCAGAGCAAAAACTCCCCACCACCACCCCACCATTTGCTTTTCTGAATAAAATAAATCCTGTGTGTACTTGATAATGTCAGTAGCATGGAATTGTAAAAGCTAATATTTCAATTAATAAATGCTACCACACACACACTAAACAAGGCCTTTGCATTCATTATATATTCAAGTGTGACCTGCTRTTTTTTTTTTAATCTGGCAAAACAAAAGTACTTTCCT